GAAATTCTGATGTTGTGAATAATAATTTTTGTCTTGTTAGATTTCCATTTTCAAGGTCATGCCTTAAAAGCCTGCAGCAATTGCTTTACTGGGAATTATTGTCATTCAGGGTTTAGTGTGGGGATAAGACAGTCACCTTGGCGGTCAGGAAGATGGGAACAGAGAGGAGCTAAGGTTAGTAGCACTAGAGAACTACACTGCAACTCTGAGGGCTCACTGGGGGCGGTTCGGACTTGGTGACTGAAGTTTACCACCAGTCTTTTAGTTCATAGGCCTCAATTTGCATAAAACATATGCCCTACGTTGAGTGTCAGGATTTATCCCATCTCTCATACTTATGGAGATGTTGACATTCCATGCGTAGCTTTCCTCTCTGATTTTCTTATAGTCTCTAGGTATTTTTTCAGTACCTTGTTCCAAGGAGCTGCTGCCAATCAAGTGCACCTGAAATGAAGCTGACTTGCTTTCCTGGGTGAGTCAGAATAAGCTAAGTCATGCTTTTGTAAGAAAAAAATACGAGCGTCACTCCTTCAAATCCCAGTGGTTCAATTTGTGTGCGTGCCGCCTGCCCAATATTGATTACTTGTTTGTCAAAGAGAACCAGTTTAACGGCATCAGAAACACCAGAATGGTATTTATACCCATTGGGGCTTACAGGGTATGTGGCCAGGGTCCGTTATTGGCATAATACCTGTTTCTCAGTATCTTCAGCTGCAGAATGCTGAGGTAATTGTACTTGCCTTACGCTATCATTATAATGACTATAGGAGATAAATAAAAAGTTCTTTGAACAGCATCCTCTGTAAGTGTACAGTAAATGTAACCAGTGGTTTTTGCTGTTTATTATTATTAACTAGGATGCCATTCAGTTGTTTTCAATCACTGAAGAAAATTAAATGTGAATAGATTCTAAAAATGAGTTTAGATAGATTTCTAGGAGAGTTTCTTTCTCTTAAAGTTAATTACAAGTCAACATAACCTATAAGCAGTGTTGTGAATTCTATATTTCCAGAAGGAACAGAATTTGAGTCAGTTTGGAGATTTACTGGTTTTTCAGTTAGAAAGGATTCTCTCTCGCTTTCAAATTTCATATATGTTCTGTGAATTTTTGAATAGTTGTTAATTATTAATTTAACAAGGATTAATTGAGCATCTAGTGAGTTTTAGGCTCTAGGGATTAAATGGTGAATAATACATACTCCCTACTGTTGTTGAACTTTCATGCCTGGAGTGGAGACAGAAAATCAGTCTTCATTTACATGACATAAGTGGTATCTGGGTACAAGACGCTACTGGAACCCACAGGAAGGTCACCTTACTCAGTCTCAGGGTTTTGGGTTCAGTGATGCCTAAATCAAGCCCTGAGGAATAAGTGCAGTTATTTACAGGAAGAACACAGAGATTAGCAGACCATGGCTATACAGAAAGCACGTTTATTAGAGCTACACAGAAGATAGGTCGCCCCGATCTTACAAGTTCCATGTGTTTGAGTTATCTTTCGGTGTGCTCTTTGTACAAACACAGACATTTAGTAATAGACTCACTTCTCATAAATACAGAGCTTACCTACTATGTGAGATGTATTTTTAGGGTTTAGGTCAGTTTTCTAAGGGTAATTGAACACATTTGGAATGATTTTTGAATGGAACAACTTTTGATATATGGTTTTTAAAATATTGACATCTTATATCCATTGAATACCTTACTTTTCATTATTATTTACTCAAGGAGTTGACTGCTTGCATTGAATGTCTCCCATTTTTACTTTTGATGAATAAAGTGAAATAGGCAGTATTAATAAGCAATAAGTTAAATAGACTAAAATCAATAAGGTAGTAAATTTACTAGTACAATGTGAAATAATGGCTCTCCTTCTACATATAAACATAAGAAATGATGAGCTCTGTGTTCTAAACATTTCTTTCAATTCATGTTTAAATTTTTTGTTGTTCATTTTTGGTTTAGAGATGCTCTCAAGTAATTTTCCACCAGTACTAATGAGTGTACTGTTAGCAGCTTCCAGATCTATCAGAGTTAAGTAACAGAGGCTTTTAGGAATAACTTTAATACTTTTTTCTTACTTACTTAACATTCGATGAATAAAAAGTGAGTTGAATTAAAATATAAATATTATTGACCTTAGGTGGATGAAACTGATGACCCATTAATGTTTAAAGTGTGGGTTGATGGTCAGGAAGTCTTACTTTATTAACGCAGTATATGTTGATATTACTTTGGTGTGGGAGGTACCTGGATTGGCAGCATAGTATTTGTATTATGAAGTCAATTGATGAAATAGAATGTAATAGAACTTAAAATATTGAGCCCCCTTTAAATTTCAAAAACTTTTAGGACTTTAATGTCATAGTAGTTGTATATTTGGTGTCTACTGAAAAAGTGAAACATGACTAAAAGTACTACTACAAATTCAGAAACACTATTATATATTTAAATAAAATGTCTTATTTGATTAGTCAAATAAATTTAAACATAGTATATGCAATGGCATGTGCATACACAGACATATATATGCATAGACAGACATTTTCAGTGTGTAGATCATTCAGTAACAGACAGTGCTTCTGGAATATATGGTGGTTTCACTTATTCTTTCTTATAATCTATAATCCCAGGCCCACAGGTTGGCAACTTCTGAATTATAAGTTGAAGATTTCAAGAAGAACTGATTAACCTGGGGCGCAAAGTCTTTGTGAGAAGAGTTAGTGAAATAGTATTAGAGTATAGGTTTTTTTTTTGATTTTTTACAGAGAAATGACTTATGTAAAATATTCTTTTAGAAATTATATTTACAGTGTTTGGAACAAAAATGGAGGGGGAAAGCCAGAAGAATGGAGGGAGGATTACTTCCTATAAGTACTACTTCCTTTAAGTATAGTGCGAAGAAAAATGTGATCTGTCTTAGTGCGAGAGGGATGGGGTCCAGAAAATTTGGAGACCAAACCATAGGAGCAGACTTGGTGATATATTTCACATTGCCAGCGAAATTCACATAAAGTTGAGATTAGATTCCTTAAATCCAGAGAAACATAAAATATGTTTTAGATAACTTAAAGAGACATTGAGGTATGGGTTATCTGCATTTTAATTATTGACAATGCAATAACTTATAATGTATAATTAATATCATGTAGGGTATGAGGGTACTGTAACTTCTGGAATAGTTTATGCATTGTAATGTAGCATTTTAATATTCTT